CCTAGATTCGACTAGAGCATAATAGAACATCCGTAATAAAGATGGATTCAGGTATTTCTTCAAGTATTTTATCCTATACAACGCTGGTCTCAAATTTTTAATCAATTCTTGTATGTGACTTTCCCAGTTGAGGTTACTATCTATTATTATTCCTAGATACTTCGCTTTTGAGGCTACTGTTATGGATAACTTATTGTTGTGGTTTTTTATGTGTAGATTATCAAATGCTGGAAGTTTGTTCTTATAGCAGCTGAACGGAATGAAAACAGTTTTCGAGAAATTAATAGTTAGTGATTTATGATTGAACCAGTCTATCATTTCACCCATATCATTTTCCACTTTTTCCTTCAATTCTCCCCAGCAGTTTCCTACGTATAAGATCGCCGTGTCATCCGCGAAGCTGACTATGCTTTCCTCCCAATTGGACTCTGGTAAATTATTGACAGAATGCTGAAAAGTACAGGTCCAGTACCTTGGGGAACTCCGTATCGCATAGTTTTTTCGCTACTCATACACCTATTGATTCTCACGAACTGTTTTCTTTCCTTCAATAGCTTGACATCAATTTACCTACTTCACTCCTAGGTTTTCCAAATCTGATAGTAACTGTTTATGAGATACAGTGAAAGTCTAGAAAAACACATAGAGCAAATTTTCCATGATCAACGGCCTTATACATTTCACCAGTTATATACTGTTTTTCTGAAATGAGATTATTTTTATCCATGTACTCAGTTATTCTAGAATTCAAAAATTTTTGAAAAATCTTAGCAAAGTTCGTGATAAGTGAAATTGGTCTGTAATTAGAAGACTTGGACTTGTCACCATTTTTGAATAATGCTTTGATAATAGAAACTTCAAATGTTACCTCAGGACAAGATTCACAGCTGAGTTTGAATACCCCTGATTCCTCGAAATTATAAGTTTTGTCTTTATCACTTCTTATGAACATTTTGATGAACATCCTCAGAGTTCTATTTGTTTTATTCGCAACTTTTGAGTTCTGCATGTAGAAATATAGCTAAGTTGTCAGTTGATGATCCGAAATAGGTTGAACTTTCATAATTCTGATGAATGTTTCTCATGGTAGGATACACTTCTTGAATTGCTTTATTACGAAGTTCTCTAGAATATTGTCTAAGTTATTCTTGTATCTGTTGTTGACTGCAATCTGTTTGATGATATTCAGTTTCTTTATTGAATTTGACTACTGGAAGAGGGACATTCACTAATCTGTGTTTCATGCTTTGATTTCATGTTGAAGAGGGTGTGTTGAATCATAATGAATAGTGATAACAGTGTGGGGGAAGGTTCATGGAAAATTGACACAAGTCAAATCTAAGAAATTTAGTGACTTTTCTGTTTCTATAAACATTGTGAATTTTGAAATAAAAGTATTAATATATTGGTAATATAGTTTCTGATTGTCTACGTATCTTTACAAATACAGAAATAGATTTAACAATGGTTATTGTCCATTACAGGTTATCCATAAATATATTAGCAAGTTTTTATAATCATCTTCTTGATGCGGAATATATTTTGTTGTCGAATTGGAAATAATTCATATCGACAAAAGATCTCAAATCTCTTGTTTGCATGGTGATGGGATCAACATGATTTTCATCAAATACCTCCTTGACTAAAATTATAGTTTTTCAGGCTGGTATACTTGGAAAAAAGTTGCATTCCGTTCAAGCGGCATAGAAAGTGGCATTTCTCTGACACAACAGGCAGGAACGGAGTATTTTCTCCGCCTAGGCAGAAAAAGTTTATTGCCATGCAACTTCCCAAGTAATATGAATGAAATTGGTTATCAAAATTGACACTGACATTGGGTGAACACAAAATGATGGATTGTTCGAAAGAAAATTATACCAAATAAGTTTTATAAAATTTGGAGAAAAGATTATATGTTTCAAACGGCAGCAATAGTAGATCAATTGAGATGAATTACCACCCTCGCTACGCTCGGCTATGTTAACTCAGTCGCGACAGTAAATCTACTACTTCCCTGCCTTGTAAAACAAATACCTATCACATCAAATGGAATGAGTTCGTCTTCCTCAGGTGGGGTGACATTCAGAATTTCAGTAATTGAATCATAGAACATGGTCGATAATTTTTGAATCCGACGAAAATATAAGAAAAAATTAATTACGGTCGAACTGATGTCAGGAAGAAGTAGAGGGTGAGCTTTTAAGGGTGAAAAACGGTTCATCCCGATTTCTGGCGAAACTGAGAATTATATGGAAAAAAGTTGAATGACAAAGTGGTAGCAGGTAATGAAAGGATCCATAGTTCTTATATCCACACCCTTTTCACATATCCTTCAAATAACCAAGTTTTTGATTTTTCAATTTCCTCTTTTTTGAAAACAAAAATCTCGGCTGAGAAGTTTGTGGAAACTCACTTCCGCATATCCCGAACACACTGGATCTTTTTGATTTGGAATATTCTGTTCTTCACCTCATTCCGACTCGATATCGAAAAAGTACTCTTATTTTTAATCGAAAATTCTCTCCTCGAAATATCAGAGATCTCGAGAGAGTCGATTGGCTTTTCGTTCGTTGATGAAACCTCCTATTTTTGATGATGTTGAAAAATATATACATTATTATGGTGAATATTCTGAAGGAATGCAGAAAAACGAAACTTGTATCCAATTAATTCTTGTTCCAATCATTGTGAACAATTTTGAGCTAGTCAATGGAGTTAACACTAATAATTACTCGGAACACGGAAGATTCTATATTACATTGATTGAAGAAGACATTTCAAATCCGAACAACATTGAGATTGCAAAAAAATAATTGTTCTAAATAATAAAGATACGATTTGAAGTTGATTTCATCTGAAAAATGTGACTGCTGCTTTTCAGTTAATTTGCATTTAATGAGAACATTCGCCACAGTGATGTACATTTTTTTCACACCATCGGAAAGTTTTTATTTCAACGAACAGAAAGTTCATCGACTTATTCGAAGAAGCAGATATTTTGACGCGAGAACTTTCGATTGAAAATTATGGAGCTCTCTCGATATCAAGTCAAAATATGACTAAAAGATGGATATTTCAAATCAAAAAAATCAAGATGTGTTTGAGACACAAAAAAGTGACATTTCTTGAAATCAACTTGAAAAAAAAAATATTTTCGATAAAGATAAAAATAAAAAATAAAAAACTTAGTTATTTGAATTTTTCATATAAAATTCGAGGTTATGTGAGAAGAGTGTGAATATCAAGTTATAGATCTTCCTATTACCTACAACTTTGCCTCTCAACTTTTTTCTATAAGGCTTGTAAGTAGTTTTGTTATGTTTGTTATATTCTTCTTCTTTTCTGATTGGTTTCATCCCGTTATGATGTTTTCCAATTTCTTACTGTTTCCAAAAGCTTCAGCACTGATCTTTCACAAGATTGCCCTAAACTGAATTCCGATTGAAAATCACAACAGTGTTTTGTAAAATTTCACAAATTTTCCGATGGTTCAACTGCAGTAGCAGCGACAAATGAAACAACCGAATCTGTAGGATAATTCAGTTAGTGTAATCGAATGATACAAGATAGTTCCAAAGGTTGAGGATTCATGATATCTCATCTGGATTTTTTGGTTACCTTGAAAATTGATTCAGAATTTTTCCTGAAGTTTTTCATGTGCAATTGGAAAGATTTGGTTGGATCACGTTTCGATAGGTTGAATTCCCTCAAATTGAACAATTTTAGGTTTTTTTCAACATAATCATTCCTGTTAATAGGAATGATTGTCATCCATTCATCTGCTCTAAAGGCTCTTGTCCTGAGGTATATATCGGTCAGACAGTTCGAACGTTTAATCATCGCATTCATGAACATAAGATGAATTCATGGGAGAAGATGACAAATTCAACATATTGGATTAGAAGAATAACAACATAATCTTAATGATGATTTCGAAATTCTGTACGTAGAAAATAGAGGAATGAAACTCGATCATTTGGAACATTCGAAATCAGCAAGGCAAAAATTCCAAAAATCTCCTCAACGATCAATCAGACCTTGATATATCACTGCTGCTGAATTTGTTTCCCTATTAGGTAATAACATATAATTTGCTATAAACCCTTTCGAGTTAATCCGGTACACCGTATATCGATGATTCCGGGCGGCCCGAGGACTGACCGTCCTGAGACCGACCTACCGACCGGCGACTTTATCCAGCCCAACAGGGCGGAGTATGCAATGCCCTCAGCACCATCTTTTGATACACACTCGGACTTGCTCCGAATTTTTTCCGACATGCATCAGATCAGTCTGTTAATTCTACATCTTCCTCCTAACCCATCCCCAAACCACCCCCTACCCCCCCCCCCCATTCCATGGGAGAAGCCCATTGGATCTATCGAAATAGTGGTTTTTGCTTTCATTTTCCACTGAGCATCAATTAACGATAAATTAGAGAGATCATGATAGCAGCAATCCGAACATTTGAATTCTCGCTCGCCCTGAGCAACTCGCTGACATTGGCTATGGAAAAGACCCTGTTCTAGGACATAGCTCGCTCGTCATTCCCAACATGTGCGTTGTAAAAAGTTCGACCCCCCTGGACCATTCGTGTCCACCTCTGGGTGCCGGGAGGCATTCCCAGGGGATTTTAACGTGTTTTTATTGTTTCTTCGTCGTCATTTTATTTACATGTTATACATAGAACTTTACTTATACACACATATATTGTACATATTTCAACAAGAAAAAGAAATGTATTGAATCGGTACACCGTATTTTGATAACGATATTGTGCCTACTTTCCGAAAACGAAAGGTTCATCGAACCTCTACCCAGGTAATCTTAATTCTTCAGGTTGGGAAAGTAGGATATAAAAGCCAGGCAAGTCAGTGTGAGTTTGATTTATTGTACCAGTATTTCACCTAAAGAAGTTACTTTGTTAGTGAAATATGTCATGTGATTGTGAATTTTGTGGAAATTCTATCGATTCATGTATATACTTTATTCAATTCTAGATCACCTCATCCATGGACAGGGTGAATTATATTGGGATGGTCAAGGGGGCGCAGGGGGTGTGACAAAGCCTCAGAGAGTATTTTCAGTGAAGGCCGAGGGAGGAACTTTCAAAAATATCAACATCAAGAACTGTCCGATGTTTTGTGTGTCCATCATGGGTAATGATCTCACGTTCTCTGGTTTCAATATCGACAATAACGATGGATTCAAGGTGGGTTGGCAGTTTCAGTTTCAATTATGGGAGTCAGTATTTTCATAACCAGATGAAATTCGCATTATTATATCGAAGTAGATCATGAGACATATAAAAGTTCAATGAACAATGAATTTGGATATTTTTGATCAAATTAATTGAAAAATCTGAAAGTATGCGGACTTTATTCTTTCTGAAATATTCTGGTAGTTCAATGCGTAAAGTGTGCTTTTACTTCCAAGGTAGTTTTCGTCATTTCAGCCACTAGTCAATAACGACATAGCCACCTCTGTTATAATTAACCTGAATTCTTCGAAGTTTTGTCTTTCTGTGAAAAAGGATTTCAAGGATCTGTTATATTTCAGCTGAGGTACTCTGATACTAGCATTGGCCTTCGGATATTTATAGTTTTACTTTGAAATGAAGTTTTCCCAGTGTGTATGAGAATACCAACTTCTGTATACTGGACTGTTTGATTACGTGTCTAGGATAATGTATCAATTGAATAGTGAAAAAATGGTAGAGTTACCTACAATTAGTCCGAAAGAAATTGAATATGAAGAGCGCGTAAAAATGAGCCATTATACCTACTTACCCAAATTTCGCTGTATCACGACTTCGCGGTAATTCCTATAACGATATACTTTTTATTATATACTCATTTTATTTCTGAATGGCGTATGGTTCAGACGTACGAATATTGGTGTCTAAAAAATTCGAAACAACATTTCTACAATGTAAGTCACAACATGAAGTTTTGGAAAATTTAGCAGAAATTAAAATCAATTCCCTTCTCAATTATTCCGAGATTCAATGTTGCAGTTGTGGGTCTTTTGATGAAATCATCAGATTATTCTCTGAAACCATCTCGAATATTCTGTTGAACAATTATTACAGAATCAAAAATAGTGGGATTGAGTCCAATAATAAAAAACTAAAAATCACTAAACTTTCAGGATGAGATATATAGTCAAGATTTCAATTTTTAGTTTGTGATTTAGATGTATATATATTTTTTGTTATTAGTGCATTTCATGTTGTGATATCTATAAATTTGTTTTCAATTTTGTTATATTGATCACTCCAACAGTTTATTCTGTTTGATTTTGTTTGTATGAGGATTCAACGTTTTTTTTTTCCTTATTTAGTCATATATCGTGGTTCTGGGTTTTCTGTTATTCAGTTCGTTATATTTATTATTATATCTCTCATTGTTGAAATACCTATTTTTTCATTATTTTTGTTTGGTTGTGTTCATATGAACTCCACCTATTTTGTTCTTTTTAATTTTGATAGTTTGGAAATATATCCAAATCAAATTTCTTCCATGAATTTAACGTTATTCTTGGAATATATATACTCTTCAGCTGAAAATAACTAATACCGAATTGGCGTTTTTGTGTAATAACACACTCGAGTGATAGGATTTCTAACGTCATCAAAGTGCGTCCTGATCATCTTTAGACATAAACGCTGCTAAAACCCTTCGAAATAAAGTGGATGTGTATTGTACAGATTTGTAGGCAATTGAATTTCCTACAAAAAAGTCAGTGACAGCATATATCCACAGTTGATAGAATTAGCATGGGAGGCGTCCGAACTTTTTGAACTATTCTGCAATGAACACCTGAATCATCGTTCTACTTGAACTGAAATATCGGTTTGTTATTGGCCCTTGGGAAGTTGAAAAAAAAAAAAACTCAGTCAATCCAGATACTATGTGGAATCTTTTCATGATTGAATCATTTCTGTGAATTGAATATTGGAATTTTGGTAGCTGTTTGAAAAAAGGACAATTCTGAATGACGTCAATTGATTTTGATATGCGATATTTCTGAAACTAGAGATCGTAAATCAGTGAAACATGATTCATCTTCTGGAAAATTTTGTTCTGTACATATTTGACTTCTTGATATTTTTTGCTAACTGTAACCGTTTTCCCGAGGTACATCAATGAAACGGGAGAGACAATTTCCACTGCGTTGATTTTGTCCCTACTAGTGTGACGTCACCAAAGCGATGCTCCGGCCCGGTGAGATAGAGTAGGCCCTGATTGATCACCATACTAGGCAGCCAGTTCCTAAACTACAAAATACCTGTTAGTTCAATACCACTTTGGGTATTTTGATACTCATTTTTTCCTGAATGTTTCACCATTACAGCCAATCTACGATGGTTATCCGTCAATATGTCATTTCTCACCGCACTTTCCAAAGTAGCTAGACCTCAATGTATTCAGCTCCGTAGCCCTGGGTAGAGCAATCCTGGTTGTTCAGTTCTGCCAGAGGATCATCCACGACAGGCGTATTGTTGCTCACTTCCAATCAAATGAAGTTGTAGAGGCCGCTCTATCTATAGCAAAGGTTATCTCAAGAACTCTTTCTTGTCTCAATCATCGATATTTTATTCTTGTAACCCATTCATGTAGTGCCAACAAAGGTGGATTAATGCAGCAACATTCAACAAATTATCAAGTATCATCTATCAATGAACAATTATCACTAATGAGTGATAAGAATATCGAAATCTTAGGATACTGAATTGACAATCAAGGAATCAATAGTACACAAGCGCACATACCCTAAATTTGGACTATCAAAGCTGAAATTTCGAATTCAAATATTTTTTCAGATCTGGAAGAAACTGGGTTACATTCATTCCATCCACAATTATTTTGTTGATTGCTATTATTTTATGTTTTCATAACATCTGTCAGATATAAGGTATGACTAATCCAGGCTTTCTCTTTCAATCGATAAAACCAATCCGCAGTTATCTGCGTACTAGTTGCGCACTAGAAAAAAGCCTGGTTCAATCAAATTAGGCAAGTTGAAAGTTGGCCGACTTCTCATTTACTATCCATTTTTATGTCTAATTTGTTTTCCTTCAGTTCTGATCCTCCGAATATTGAGATCCATACAGTTGTTTACTACCATGTATGAAAAATCCAAAATGATGCAGTGGAACTGAACATATCATATCATTATCTAGACGTAGCAGGTCCTGCTATTCATTGTCATTGATACTTTTACCACGACCAATATTTCAACACTTGTAACTTTTTTGTTTTTACTGATTGACGAAATCAATTCGACACAAGGGAAGAAAGTGTTCGTCCTTTCTCTGATTTCACCCACTTTCAACTATTTCACGTTTAACTACTCCATAATCCGTCCTCTTCACATCCGATGGATGTCATTCTATGCATCGCATTCAATGATGTTGATGAGGAATGCTTAATCCGATGTATAGAAAATGGTAAGGCACGAATTTTTTCGAGAATTTGATCAATTAATTGTCATGAATTATCATTGCAGCTGAACTTGAATTTTTTTAGAAACAGTCCTGAGAAGTGAAGTGAAGCAATTGATTTTAACTATTGATTTTGAGATGTTCATGTCAATGATCAATTTCATGTACTCATTGATTTTGAGACTCAATGGTATGTTCATTGAATAATCTCAACTTTACTTTGTGTAGAAATAATTTTGATCCATGCGAGCCTATTGAGATGTAATCTGATCAAACATTTCAATTTTGAATGCATTTTCAGAATGGTCGAGGAAAGAACACAGACGGCATGGGATTCTCTCACTCCAATAATATTGTGATTGAAAATTCAAAAATCGTCAACCAGGATGATTGTGTGAACGTTATATGCAGCAGCAATGCTGTAATCAGGAATGTCCATTGTTGGGGATCTCATGGTCTCACTATTAGCTCAGGACTATCAAAAACCGATCTAAACAACGATGTATATAATATAACCTACGAAAATTGTTCTATAGGGGGATCACTGGTGGGAATTCATGTTAAGACTCATCCTGCTGGTGGACATGGAACAGTCAATCAAGTGACCTACAGAAATATTGAGATAAAAGGTGAATATTTCATTGTTTATCTGATATCGATAACAACTGTTGAATTGAAGGATAACGCACGTTCCATTATAGAAACTGACTTCCTGTCGGATTGATGTTGTGGTCCATGTCATTCTGGATAAAATCCTCAATGGTATAACTCCTGATGCTATATGTAGTTTTGAATCTAGAGACCGCTGAAAACTGTTTCTCGATCTTTCATTTCTTTCGATGAGAATCGCTCTCCAATAAAATTTTTTGCAAGATGAAACAGTATCAGGAAAATGCATCGATATATTCTGTTGATCAATAGATATGCAACGTGCTTCAGCTATTATGAAAAAAAAATACCTTCTTATATGTTATGATCGAAGAGATAATGATTGGTATTTGTTGCTTTTGAATCATTATAAACCACAACTTTTTCGAAATTCATACCAACCCTGTGTATGAAGGGTGAATTCACATCTTTGTCAACTTGTTCTTGTAGCAAAAATCAGTATACATAGATACATACGAATGAGATCATTCCTGGTGACTTCCTTGAAACAAAACAAATGTTTTGACCTCTGGATGATGTATTCAGAATGACTATAATAAAAATTCAGTCGATTCGACAGGAGGCCCGTTTCCTCTGAAGAATCTTCAGTGAACATTTCTTTTCACGCTTGCGGAGATCAAGTTTCACATCTTCTCATCCCATAAACGTGTACATGATTATGTGAAATTGATGAAGATATTAATATAATTATTGCATCTTGAAATCTCACTCGAAATAAAATACTCTTTGACTAAGAAACATAAAATGCAGTTTTTGTTATGCATACTTCAATGATTTGAATTGACGTTTCAGATGTCACGAAATTTGGTGTCGAAATTCAACAAGATTACCCGAAAGGAGATGGTAATTCGGCAAATAACATCAACATATACAATATGAATTTGATCAATGTTACTGGATCAGTCAAAGGTAGTAAGGCGATAGGAGTGCGCGTTAGCTGTGGTTCTGGATCGTGCTCTGACTGGAACTGGTCTGATGTCAAGATTACTGGTTCACACAAGAAGGATAGTTGTAATTTCCATCCTAATGGATATAAATGTTGATGAGATTGCAATTTGGAAAAATACATTGGATCAACTTATTATTTTGATTCTTGTTTATGTTGCAGTTTTTTCACCATCAGCTTCCTAACGAAACCACAAAACTACTTCAGGCCCGAGATATATTCATGATCGTAGCATTCACCTGTCGATCATCGTACATTTAATACCCACAGTGATATTTTGACCCTGATTGATGGTTTATTCAACTCCAGTCACTGGTATAAAGTCAATATTTCAATGAAACTCCAAAAGAAGTTCTCAATGATCCGGAAATGCATATTTTTCAAGATACAGTGTGTTAAACTTGTAAAAAAAAAGTTTTTAATCTATATCTCTAACATCCTTCCACATATTCTCTTGAAATTTCACAATGAGATTCTTCATCATGAGGGACTGCTTTACCTATGATTGAAGGCCTGCATGCTCCGTGGGTGACGTCACTTAGTGAGGCCTAACCAGCGGCTCGAAACGACAAGCGCTTATAGCGCTATAAGGCGACCGCGTATTTCGATTTTAGTTTTAGATCATCATTGAGCCGATTTTGCTGTTTTTTGAAGGGCTTCCGGTCAAAAAAGGATGCCAGTCGTCAACTGAGCCCTTCTTCGCACCCCATTCGATTTTATTATGTAAAAACGAAGTTTCAAAGCAAAAACCAGGATAAAACACAAATATCCACCTACAGCAACCCATTCGAATTAAATATATTGGCAAAAATTGTGGTGAAGGTTAACTTCACACCTACTTATACAGGGCCCGCAGAACATAAACTTATTGTGAGATTGATCGAAAGAAAATTGTGGAAAATGTATTTTATTTTGATTGACATGTCGTTTGTTACAATTACCTATATTTATCTTGGAGAATTCCTATTACCTGAAAAAATAACCAGTGAGTGTTTTCAATTTTCTGTTGTTTTATTTTTCACCCAAGTCGATCGTTACACTTGAAACCGTAATTTTAATGGTTGAATCTGCATTTATCATGCGATGGTTTTTTTCGGTACTCACGTATTTTTGTCTGATTAACCTAACCTAACCTAACCTGACCGAATTTTATGATGAAAATGTGAACAAACTACTATTTATTGAGATATTTCAAGAAAAAGTTAGAAATTTCGCCTTCTTTCTCCCCTTGTGTTGGGGTCATTGAAGCTGCTTGCTCTTATTTTGTCATTGGACACTTCATATACTCATGATGTACTTCGATGGCACATTTCTATATAGAAAATTCAACAGGAAATATGATTTTTATGGCGAGTTTTTCATATTTAGTGAACAAGCATTCTAGATGACGACCATTTAATCAATAGTCAATCAAAATACGAGATGTCAAATGTCAATAGATTGCTTTCGAATGACATTACACACGCCATTATTTTGAATTATATTCTTCCTTCTTTTCACTAAATATGGATTAATCTCAAGAAAATCATATTTATAGTTGAATTATATATAAATTGTCCAATATGATGAAAGGAGAAGGGAAATTTGTTCTGAATGCCATCCAGAAGACAGGTGAAAAAGAAGGTGAAATTTGGAACTTTTAAGTCAAATATCTTCATGATAAATATCATGATAAATGCAGTTTAACCTTTTTAAGTAGAGTGTTTGTAGTTCATGTGAATATGATAGTTGCAATTTGATCATTGGAATGAATTCTGCATTCATTGCCACGAGGCAAATGACCGTTTTCAGAAAGAAATTTGGGAATGAGAATTGAAAATACCCGTTTATTATGAACATTCAAGAAAATTTCCTCGAATTCAGAGATGATTTTGTTGACTATAATATACGAATACAAAACTAACTGCACAATCAAAGCTTTTCTATTTTTCCTCTACTTATACTTTTTATGAGAAAGTAATTATTGTCTTCTATTATTAATTCATCATTATAAATTGAGCTCTGTTTACTACTGAACTTAGGGAGTAAAATCCTCGCGGTGAATTGCATACACCCACATTTTCGATAGCTCCTCGTCCAACGAGAACTAAAAGCATGAACTTTTGTACCACCCACATAATTCCCCCGACAAAAGGGAAAACAACACTTGAAAGGCATTGTTATTTCGCCGATCACAACACAAAATATTCCACAGAACAGTAATTTTTCCGCCAATTATTTTGATGAATAAACAACAAAAGAATTCGGGACCGTTTCGAAAACATACGTGAATCACCGATGAATTAACACGAACTGACGCGTTAGTCGACAAGCGATAAAATAAAACACTGGCCTCTCTTGGTGACGTCACGAGCTGTTTACGTCAGAGTCTGCTGGCCTTGTTGTATCGGTGGTAACGCCCTACCGCATACTATAGTTAATAGAATGTACGAATTCTGGTTTCCTGAACTGTTTCGATATTTTGCTTCGTTTTTGTGGCAAAAAAGGAATACTGATTGATTGTATGAATTTGTGCGAAACATTCCTTCAAATACAGGGGTGAGAATAAATGTGTGATCCATGTCCATAGACGTAAAATACGAATGAAGATTGATTTTTTTCGAATTGTTCATGATACATGTTTGACACACTTTGTATTATTGAAAACTACGCCTTCCTGGACCTTGATTCCATAGTTCCCAATAAACAGAGTGGTGTAGAGTGTGACAAACATGTATCTCGTAAAATTTGGAGGCAATTAGTCTTCATTCTTATTCTGTGTCTACGGACATGGATCACGTATTCATTCTCACCCTAGTTTTTGAAGGAATTTGTAGACACAAATTCATATATATATATGTACTATATTCTGTGTATTTTTTATCGTTTTCGGAGATATCGGTATTATGAGGTATATAGAACTTCACATTCACAAGTTATCTTCGTTGTTACAAAATAAAATAAAAACCCAAAGTTGGATAGGTACGTCGATATTATTTTTGCAAGGAGATGGGGAACTTTTCTGGAATCATCATGCTCGAAAGTTCAACCCGTATAGGGCGAAAATGATATCTACCAATTTTGGATTTACAAATGGAATACACTGTAAATTATTCTATGACTGATTATGGGCTGCCATTACGATACCAGAAATATACTGACAATATATCAAATTACTTGCCATTTTCACTAGTCTTATTATTGGTCATTAATCTAAGAATGAATTTATTCAGTTTCTTTCATGATGCGTGAACTTAAATGCTGAAATACGTTATTTAGGTTTTTTAAATGATACTTATTGTATTTTATGAATACCTATATACAATTCCCTAATTCCATTTCCTTTTATGGCCTCAACCTCCAAATCCTCATATCAGTATTCAAAGTGTCAGTATCTACGATTCAAAGACAAAATAACATGCAATAATATGTATAATCAGCCGCGCGTCGCTAGGTGATGAGCACAGGTGATCTTTGCCCGCGCTTGCCCGTTACCACCGATACAACAAGGCCTGCATGCTCAGTGGGTGACGTCACTTTGTCAGGCCTAACCAGAGGCTCGAAACGACAAGCGCTTATAGCGCTATAAGGCGACCGCGTATTTCGATTTTAGTTTTAGATCATCATTGAGCCGATTTTGCTGTTTTTTGAAGGGCTTCTCGTTAAAAAAGAATGCCAGTCGTCAACTGAGCCCTTCTTCGCACCCCATTCGATTTTATTATGGAAAAACGAAGTTTTGAAGCAAAAACCAGGATAAAACACAAATATTCACCTACAGCAACCCATTCGAATTAAATATATTGGCAAAAATTGTGGTGAAGGTAAACTTCACACCTACTTATACAGGGCCCGCAGAACATAAACTCATCGTGAGATTGATCGAAATAAAATTGTGGAAAATGTATTTTATTTTGATTGACATGCCGTTTGTTACAATTACCTATATTTATCTCGGAGAATTCCTATTACCTGAAAAAATAATTAGTGAGTGTTTTCAATTTTCTGTTGTTGGATTTTTCACCCAAGTGAATCGTTACACTTGAAACCGTAATTTTTAAGGGTAAAACTGCATTTATCATGCGATAGTTTTTTTTTGAAAATTTTTTTCGGTACTCACGTATTTTTGTCTGATAAACCGAATTTTATAATGAAAATGTGAACAAACCACTATTTATTGAGATATTTCAAGAAAAAGTTTAATATTTCGCCTTCTTTCTCCCCTTGTGTTGGGGGCATTTGAAGCTACTTGCTGTTATTTTGTCATTGGACACTTTATATACTCATGATGTACTTCGATGGCACATCCTTATATAGAAAATTCAACAGGAAATATGATTTTTATGGCGAGTTTTTCATATTTAGTGATCAAGCATTCCAGATGACGACCATTTAATCAATAGTCAATCAAAATACGAGATGTCAAATGTCAATAGATTGCTTTCGAATGACATTACACACGCCATTATTCTGAATGATATTCTTCCTTGTTTTCACTAAATATGGATTAATCTCAAGAAAATCATATTTGTAGTTGAATTATATATAAATTGTCCAATATGATGAAAAAAGGAGGGAAATTCGTTCTAAATGCCATCCAGAAGACAGGTGAAAAAGAAGTTGGAATTTGAATCTTTTCAGTCAAATATCTTCATGACAAATATGATGATAAATGAAGTTTTACCTTTTTTGAGTAGAGTGTTTGTAGTTCATGTTAATATGATAGTTGCAATTTGATCATTGGAATGAATTCTGCATTCATTGCCACGAGACAAATGACCGTTTTCTGAAAGAAATTTGAGAATGAGAATCAAAAATGCCCGTTTATTATGAACATTCAAGAAAATTTCCTCGAATTCAGAGATGATTTAGTTGACTATAATATACGAATACAAAACTAACTGCACAATCAAAGCTTTTCTATTTTTCCTCTACTTATACTTTTTATGAGAGAGTAATTGTCTTCTATTATTAATTCATCATTATGAATTGAGCTCTGTTTACTACTGAACTTAGATACTTAGATGGAGTAAAATCCTCGCGGTGAATTGCATATACTTACCCACATTTTCGATAGCTCCTTGTCCAACGGGAAACTAAAAGCATGAACTTTTGAACCACCCACATAATTCCCCCGACAAAAGGGAACACAACACTTGC